AAATGACTTCCAAATCACCTGTCCTTGCAGCCATTTTTAGATTCTTTGTTCACCTTGGGGGCATGTAATAAGCACATGTCTTCCATAAATGATAGCTAACATGGAGTGAGTAATTGATAAACTAGCTGTGGTCAGCCTAATGCACGGACAGAACGTTTAATGATCTCCTGAAATTCTCATGGAGTCCTGCAGGAGTCACAACAGCATGGGCTGTTGGAATGCGGATGGCGAGAAGAAGAAGGCTGTGTTTGCTATGGCTGTTTTTAATGATCTCCTCAGGATATAACTGAAGTTAATGAAGTCTGTTCCATGGGGGCTTACCTTTGACCCTGCTCTGAGAGTTTCTCACCCCTTTCTGTTCCCTTTTACAGTCCTCGTCACTCTGGATGCCTTTTGGTTTGTTGACTTTTCTTTCCTCTCATTGTTTTCCCAGGAAGCGGTGAAAGCTGCAGGGATGTGTGTGTGCATATGTGTGTGTGTGTCTCGATAGTACAGTATTCTAGCCTTGGCACCAGCACTGTGGAGTCTGTCTTTTTTCCGCAGTTGTTCTGTGGTATATTACAAGATGGTATAACTATCTCAATACAAGTGGTTTCGATATTATCTACCACATTTCTGAAAACATGGCGTGCTGGCTTGTTTACTGTTTGATTTGACCTTGTCATAATATTGTTGTTCATCGGGTTTCAAAACAATTAAGCATGGCCATCTTCTCTTGCAGGAAGTACAAAAGAAATCCTTTAAAGTCTCCACTCTGCAGATTTGAGTATTGCACCACTGTGGGCCACAGTTGCCACAGAAAGGGGCCACTCATTCCCAGAGGAGGCACTAGCAAACTGTTTGTGAGAGAGAAACATGAATGCAAGCTTAGCACGAGAGGACCCGGGCAGAGGGCCAAGAGCAACTCTGCGCTGTGCAGGACGTTATTAAGTTGGAGCAACAGCTGATGTCTCGGGCCATGGCGTTGCACTGGTTCCCAACTCTGTGTCCAGACGTCCCTGTCAGACTTGTCCTGGGAATTGGCTAGCTTGGCCCACCAGGGAAACCAAGGGGAATACTTGTAAAGCCAAACATGAAGTCAAAGAGTCTAAGGAACAAAGATCTAAGCTTCTGAAAATATAGAAAGCCATGATTGTTCAATGAATGATGCTTCCCTTCTGAACCAAGAATGGGCAGAGAAAACACAACAGAGATTCAGATCTGCATTCCTCTCTGGTTAGACATCCAGAACTGGCGATAGATGAGGACTGCTTCCCTATTTTAAGAATAATAGAATATCTGAAGTTCTTTCCAATAAAGGAATGCTGCTATTGTTAACTACAAACATGTTCAGCATAGCATACAGCGTGTTTATGCAATTTTCCTTTGGGATCAATTAACCATTCTATTTAAAGCTTGTTGACTTATCCTACATAATTTGTGAACATCACTTATTAAGGGACAGACTTCCAAAGACCCTAACTCTAAAGACAATTTAGTGAGAGCTACTCCAATAGCATTTATACACATGAATCAAACAAACGACAACCATGTGTCTCCTGGTTCAAAACGTCCACTTTGTACTGTATAGTCCACAAGAATGACTCATCTTTTGGTTGTTTGGCCATGTAAATCTACTGATTTCAATCCAACATATTTTTTACTTGCCGAAGATCTGACTTAAGCCCCCAAAGCCCCCCAAACAAACAAAAACTAAAGACGTCTGCATAAGAAGTCTGGAAGACCTCCACTAGTAAAATAACCAATATGTCAGCGGCTTATGCAAAATATTTGCAACCCAAATACTGTTTTAGTGGTATGTTTTATGTTTATTTGCTCTATGGACAAAAAGACAACTACTATCAATTATACATTGATGAACCCGCTGAAATTAAAGGGGCCCTATTATGCTAATTTTCAGGTTCATAAATGTTTATGCCTCTGGGACATGTTTCCATGCTTTAATGTTCAAAAAGCTCTTTATTTGTCTCATACTGCCTGTGCTGCAGCACCTCTTTTCACCCTCTGTCTGAAACCAGAGCCCAGTCTGCTCTGATTGGTCAGCTGGCCAGCTCTGTCTTGATTGGTCAACTGCTAACAGAGTTCCCGCCCCTTAGCCTGTCACGTACAATGTGTTGGAGCGTTAGCCACTATAAGCTGGAGTGTTACATATTGATGTCATGCTTTTACAGAAGTAAACAAAGGACTACAATCGAGGCGTTTCAGGCGGGGGGGGGGGTGTTTAGGATGTCAGCCTTTGCAGACCACAAAAACACAACACACTACAGGAAAGGGTAAACCCAACAAAATATAATACGGCCCATTTAAAGCTAAGTCAGAACTCTGTCTCTATTCTTGCTATGCAATTATCTTGAACTGTATCAACTTCACTGCCATGTTCGAATAGTCACGATTATCCTGATAACGGAAATGTACAATCAATGATTCCTATAAATATCTATTATTCACCAAAATATGTCTCATTACTTATTTGTCTCTTCAAAGCTGAGTGAATGCTTTGACTTGGCGTGCCCTGGCGTATAAATCAGTCCCTGATTATTTTTGCTAGAATGAAAAATAATGGAGCAGAGAAGGAATCTAACACTGACCTTTAATTTGATGGATTAGATTTTGTTCCGTCTCTTGAGGGACTTTATATGTTCACACATCTTGACTAAGCTGTCCAACTTGTGGATTTAGCTGAAGGCTGAATCTTTACTTAAGAGCTTTTGAGGATCAGATGTGTTCCCATAGGTGTAGCCTGTCACCTAGGTTCCAATTGAATTTAATAGTTTTGGAAAAATATTGATCGTAATTGCTTAGTATCATAGTAACAAACCGGTATCCATATTTCAAAGGCACTTTGATCTCTCGATTTAGTTTTATTTCAACTGGTATTAACTTTAATTATAAGGATTTATTCCTACTTGAAAGATGGAGCTCGGTTTGTTGAATCGAATTACTGATGTATTCATTTATGTATTATTGTTTTATTCGCTACTCTAAGATGTGTTTGCTAGTGAAATGATCCTAGTTCCTGATTCATCCACAAACACTATGAAAAAGAAAGCCATGGTGGGCCGTTAAATCACTGTCCAGCGTATACCTGTGGCAGTTTTGTGACACACTGTCTCTGTAATTACATGTCATTATCCAAAGAATCCCAAGACGGTTTCTTTTTGAAGACGATAATGAAATGCTTTGAATTGGTGCTGAGATGACATCAGCCAGCGGGCCAGGAGGAATGTTAATGAAGACCCCCTCACACAACGCTGTTACCCTGCAGTCTGCCCTGAGTGTTGTACAGTAACAATACGTGTGGGACATACAGTATTTGTCATTTTATTTACGAGTTTCTGTCAGTGTTTTTGCAGACGGGTGAAAACCTCCCCAATTACAAAATGTCAGCCTTTCAAAGCCTCGTTTTTTGCTCAATGACAGTTCATATTTGACATTATCCAGGGAGTTCTGAAAGAGCCTCGAGTGCAGGAGGTCAGGATTTTTCTCTAACTATGGAAGATGTGTAATCCTTTAATTGACCTTAAAATACCGAAAATCCCCATAGTTAGCACTTAGGGAGGTTTCCACACAGCAACAGCTACATAACAAAGCCAGACAAATAAACACGAGAGCAGTAATGCTCGAATCAAAGAGGATAAAACATTACAATTATTTTAAGGAGAAGAAGGAAATGGTACCAAGAAGGTACAAAAGGGTAGGCAGCCACTGTCAGTTTCCCAGAACTGTTGTTCTGTTTACAAGGAACAACTGCATAGCGTGTTTGCTCGACCCTCGCTTTAAATCAACAAATCCTTACCAGATGAGGCAACAGGCCTGTGATTCTGCCTCGCACTTCTTACATACCATGACAAACATTCCATGACAAATGGAGCAGAGGTGGTTTCTCTGTTTGTCCCAAACTGGGAGGTCAGCTGGATTAACACAGAGTAAATATTTTCTTACTGTAGGGATGAGTCAGATGCTTCAAAAGTATGGCCCTTAGATTGAGCATGAGATTAAGATTGGCAGGACATTAGAAGAACATATTTTAAAGGTCCCATGACATGGCCATTTCTACTGATCATAATTCCATTGTTGAGGTCTACTAGAATAGATTTACATTGTTCAATGTTCCAAAATCACATTGGTTTTCTCATACAGCATCTCTGTATAGCATGTGTATTCACTCTCTGTCCTAAACGGCTTGTTGGAGCTCCTGCCCCCCACTGTGCTCTGATTGGTCAGCTCGCCCACTCTGTTCTGATGAGTCCACCACCGTTACAGCTGAACATCAGTGTTTATGTGTTACAATGGCGTTTGTTAGCAACCAGAAAGTGACACCAGTAATGACAAACAGATGAGAATGCTGCGTGGGGTCTGGGTGCCGTGTTGGCGGGACGTTGCGGGGCTCGCTGCTCCGCCCTTTGAGGCTCGAGGAGCGGACAGAGTGAGCTGTATTACTGGTGTCGTTTCCTGGTTGCTGCGTGGGGTCTGCGAGACAGCGAGACACAGTGAAAATGGAAAAAGAAAAATCTCCAACGAGGCGTTCTGGGGCAGCATAGACAGGTCTTTTCTGTGTTAGAGTTTTACTCACTACAGGGTGTACTTTGAGGGTTTGTGACTTTGCAGACCGTTTACATGCATAAAAAGCTACATAACACACAAGGGGACGGGTAATAACCGGAAAAGCATGTCATGGGACCTTTAAGTATATAGAGTTTATAGTACAATAATGTGTAATAATGAGCATAGGTTTTTGTGTTAAAGCAGTAGAACTGCTTTATCCCTGAAGTGTTGACCTAAGTTTGAGTCTGACATTTTTGCAGCCCAAGAGCCCAATCTCATCATATAAAGTGCTTTCAATCGGAATTCAAATATTTACATAGTGTGTCCTTTGATTTACTCCTTAAACTACTTTATATTTAAGCCTTGGAAACACTGTCACATGCACAGGAGTTTTTCTAATGTGTCTTTCTGCTAGTTTTTACTCTTAACTGTGTTTCTGTTTTGTTTTTTTATAGGAAAAAGTTTCCACCTGGTTGCAAATTTTCTGAAACGGCACTTCAACCTCAGATGTATCGTGAAGCAGCTCTATGGGGGTATGTAACCTACATGTTCCATGTTTTAAAGTATCAACTCCCAGTTATATGAATCAGAAATAGACGTCTCAAAGGCACATACTCAGCCACATTTCCCACAGAACGAGTAAGTCATCAGTGGTTTACATGTTGATTTTTCTCCCCCTCACTTGTTTTTATGTCCTGTCCCTACCTGCTCGGGGTGTTGTTGAGAACAGGCAGCCATTAAGTGGTTCCCTCGAGAGGCTACTGAGAGTGGGAGAGAGAGAACGATTGGAGGGCTGTCTATGGAGGGCAGTGAGAATCTATCTGCATGGCCCATCTAGTGCCTGTGACCCTTGGCCACCTTTTCATGGGACCAACATGGCTCCCTTCCTGTCAGTAAAGTTAATATCTGTTCCCTGGGGGCCTGAATGTTGAGGCAGCACTGACCTGCTGCAGACTGAGATGACGGCTTCTCTCAGCAGGTCCGTTACGCATCGAATTAGATCCCGTCTCCTGGGGTCAAAGGTTGTGTAATTCAGTCCTCTGAGTTAGCTGTACAGAGTGGTCAGGCCATCATATATTATACAGATGGTTAAAAAGGTTTTATTCTGATAGTTATACATGGCAAAATGGTATGCTTTGAATCAGGTTAGGAAGACTACTTGGTTAAAACACAATCTAATACTATAATTAGCCGGTCAGAATGCAGTGGTATTTTCTGATTAACTACTTTTTTTTATTTCACCCTACAACACAAACATTCCAACAATGTTTCTACTCTTAGTTGAGCAAAATCTGTCCCAAGCTGTCCATTAGGGGAGCAGCCAGAAGGTCATTTATTCCATTCGGGGACATAATATTCTTAGTAAATGTCGTGGCAATCTGCCTGTTGTTTTATGAGATATCAATTGAGTACTTTCTAAACTTTCACTAGTGTAAGTCTAAAGAAATGCTTGTGGAATATCCTCTGAGCACACATTTGCTCAGTAAATGTCTTTTTCTGAGAGTTGTAGGTCTTTCAAATATTTATTTTACAGTTTACATGTGTAGATGTGTGGCCTGATAGTGGACATGGAATTCATCTTCAGAGGCCAAGATTTGTTCCTACTATTTTTTGTTTGGTAATCTGGCAAGTTATAGTAATAATTGACATCCAAACCTCCCACCAACAAAGTCATCCTTTTCAAATACTGCACACCAGTTGTGTTTACATTATACAGGTGTTTGTATGCAAGTTTATAGCCTGCTTATTAACCAACGTTTGTGTCTTGGCTGTGTTTATTAACGGCTGATCCACACAAGTGAAACAAGACCAATGTATTAAATAATGGCCACTGAGGAGGAATATGAGCTTTTACGGACTAATACCCCACAGCTGTAAACTCTTTGAACAGAGGGTGGTAAGCTCTGTGGATCAAGAATGCAAATGGAGAATATTGTAAGATTGTGCCAACGCTCCTGTTATTTGTTCTAGCAGGAAGTTACTTTTTTGTCAATATTCTTTTTTATTGAGCCCGCGAGAAACACATGGTGATGCAGAAGACAGAGTAATGTTACAAACGTTCTGGATTGCTTACGGACAGTTTGATTTATTATCATGATATACTGCGTGTAATAGTATTGTTGATGTAAATGGTCTCTGCCTTTGAAGCCGATGGAATAGTCTTATAACTCCCAAGAGCCGTTGTTAACATAACATTTTGTGATATTTCATGCTGCTTACGCGGCTAATAAAGCTCAACAGTTATCTCTGAGCTGCCATTCTCTCCTTGGTCTGAGCTGAATACTTGGTGTTTGTAGATGTACATTTAAACCTTCACCACAATTCCCTCCGTCTGACTTTGACTCATAATTAGAGGTGAGCCCATGTTATTAACTAGCATGGTCTGTGTTGTTTCTTTGCCTGCCTTCAGATATGCGTGTGTTTCCTGAACGCTATGTAGTGTGTGTGAGCTGCCCGGAGGATACCTCAGCGCACCATGGAAACCCGAGCCTGGCCGCGGTGAGTGCTGTTTATACTCCTCTATTTCCTCTTCCAGTCGCCTGGCGAAAAGTCCTGCATGGGCCTGTGTGTTATTATAGGGATGTGTTGCCAAATTGTGCTCTCTATTTAACATGTGCTGCTGATCCTCGTTACGTGAGGCGTGGAGGGAGGGGGGGGGGGCTATAGTGCGGAGGAAGGAGATGATGGCAGGGGGATGGAAAAAGTGAGGTGGGGTCCAACGATGCAGAGTCATCACTTCTTCAAAAAGTCACTGCTCTCAAATTCTGCCAATTCACCCGAGCAGTACAATTTGGGTTGTTTTTTTTGTCAAGCGCAAATGTGGGTTGTTGCAAACCTCAACATTAATGGGTCGTCAAAAATATAGCCAAAACTAATTTAGCTCTTGGGAAAATCAAGACAGATCTACAACTTTTATCCAACCTCATTGTTGCAAAATGCAGTCAATGTTTACATTGTCAGAACATGTAATTTATATTTTAAAGAAATCTGAATTTTGTCTACCCTTTAACCACAGGACGTTTTTAAACACATAGTTTGATATACACTAAATATAGTGCATCATTAACACATGATTTAACCCGTTTTAAAGCATATCACTCATGGCTCGAGTAAACACTCTTCATTTTTAAATAAATGTACATTTTTACAGTAGATTCAGGTCATGTGATTGTGTGCAGTTGACTCTCATGTGCCTTGATCGATTAGTTTCAGATGAAGGTGGGTTCAGTTGGTCATTTTCATGTAGGAATTCACACTGTATATATTTTGATGTACTGTCATAAGACCTTTTATTGTACATGAGTTCCTTTTGGTCCATTCATATTATGGACAACTCTCCTTTGGCCAGTGCTCACTTGATCTCAAACTCCCAGGATTATTATGGGAAATGGTGGAGGAGCCTCTCACCTTGGCACTCACATCAAGGACAGACATCTCTCCCATCACATCCCATGATCAGCGGCCTGCTGTTTTTCTTTTGCTATTGTTTCCCTTTGATAGGTCTCTGCACTATCCACAGTTTGGCTTCCAATGAAAGCAGTGATTGTAATATTTTTAGTGGAGCAGCAGTCGTCAGTGAAAAGTTCAGATTGTGTAACCAATTTTCCAGTTCAAGGAGGCATTGCTGTCGATTGCGTTCCTCTCCTCAGGATGTGGTTCTCCGGGCTCATACAGTACGAGCAGAGGGAATTGGAGGGTGGGAGTCCTGTGGTGGAGCTCTCACTAGCCCAGCTTCGAATGTGGTTTGTAAAGGGAAAGATACCAGACAGCAGGGCGAACGGTTTTCACATGACAAAAACAATCATTTGTTTACATCGTTTGCTCCGTTCCAATTTGTCAGAAACTTCAGTCTTGGCATTTTCAGTGTTGCCAAGAAAGTAAAAAAAAAAGAAGAATGTATGCAGTGAGTCACGACCTTTATATATACAGTCTATGGTCACGACTGATGTAAGGCTTAATAATGTTGCCATCTAAAAATAATGGAGCCTTTGGAGTTCTATGTCAAAGTGTCAATGTGTAAAAAAATACATTTTATTCCACAACTTCTGACAGCACTAACCTGCTAGTCCCAAAAATATGCCGCATTCCCTGTATTTAGCTGTGTTTCGGTTTTGTTGTGAGGATTCATTTTGTGTGACTTGCTGAACAAAAATCCTTAACCACAGTGGAAATGTAGCCTCATGAAATTAGCACTTCTCATAGGGTCAGGGGGTTATGTTGTGAGGGAACCAAGGTGACATGATGGATGACCCTTTGTCCTGTCAAAACCAACATCTCAGTCACACACTTCATCATACTGTAGTCCTGTGGGCTGTTATTAGTCATGTTTTCAGCGGTGGATCTGTTAGAAGAGGAAATGGTGATATTTAGTCATTTCCATTAGCGTAGGGGGGGGAAGATGTATTATAGATTTCCAAAACTTAGAGTCAAAACCAAAATACAAAAAATGTAAATATTGTGTGCTGATTAACCACATCTCAATAAATGTGAATGGGCTTGCTCATAGTGACAATTTTCACCCAAATGTGCCGTTCCCAACAACTCTACAAAGTGTTAGCTCATCTGTTTGGTTTGACATCAACTTTACTTTTAGATTAAATCTCACAGCTCTCATCAACAACATGTCCAGCAGGCTCAGGCATCTTTATTCAACAAAAAGCTCTGATAACCACACCAAACATACACACCAAGCACCAAACAGACACATTTAGTGACTAGCAGGTTATCTTATTCGAACATGTAGTAGCAGGAGCTTGTGGGAAAAGCAACAGATCTAAAAGGGGAATCACGTTTAAGATTGCTAACTTGCTAAAATGCTAAACATCAATTTAAATATTGATAGTATGTCAATTGTTTTTGCTGCCCCAAGTGATCAAGTTCAGCTTGAGGTATGCTCGGAACAAGCTCGTTCTTGCGACATGTCGCACAACCTCGTCTGAAGGCATGAACATGTAAAGCTGTTCCAAACTGCCACACCTGAACCTGGTGTGAACAGTTCTCTGACAGTCTGTACTGGAAGGCATTTACAGTGCTACACTAAGCACACAAGAACAAATTAAAGAATTAGTTGTATAAACAATGAAACAAAACAAAAAACTGTTTAAGAGAAGAATTCAATCCCTGTTTATTTTCTAAACTTCAGGCACCTGGCCAATCACGATGAAGACGGTGTGAATGTCAGGTTGGAAAGTTGAAGAAATTGTTGGACGCACTTCAGTTTAAGCATGTGTACACCTGTAATTCATGACTATCATGTCTGGAGATGTTGAGTCACCTCATACAGTGTTGCCAGTAATTGTTATTTAAAATATTAAGAGATTACTATAACACTTAAACATCCTACACCTAGAACTCACTGTTCCTCTGCAGAGGTAGGGCCTTTTTAAAACAACTATATTTTCATGGGAAGCAAACAAAATCTCATAGACAACGTTTGTCTTCTTCTTGACATGTTAAGATTCTAATCCCTCATAATAATCTTGCTCCTATTGTGAGTCAGCACCAACAGCGAGGAGGGCAGCATGGGAAGGAAGAGCTAGTGTTTAGGATTGTGGCCGATGTTTTGTAGTCAGGCACAGAGTGGGCAGCCGAGGTGAGTGGCGTGCTGTGCCGCAGAAGTTTGGATCAAAGGCAGAGCAGATGTGTTTCCAGTCCCCCCCTCTTCTGAGCCGTGGACGAGCCTGTGTGTTTACTCATGACCTCAGCACGTCTCTGTTCTTCAACAGCTAGCAGCAGAGCGTTCCCAAGCCTCCACTGTCTCTCTTCTCAAGGCCCAACACACGGCTGGGATCTCTTTACACAGTCCCTTCATTCCTCCCTGTCTTAGGCTGCTTTCATTGATTGATTAATTGAAGAGTTAACAGCTTGTCTTAATCCTTAAACATGGGTGGATCCAAAAAACGTCTGTCATTGTACAGGGATAAGAACCGTGCTCTTTTTTTAGTCAAGTATGTGCTCATGCATGTTTGTTGACTTTGTTTCAGGGAAGATGTGGTGAGCTTAGACAAACAGGGCATGTTTCCCTCAGTGGGAGCAGGGTGGGAGGAGGGGGGGGGGGGGGGATTCACGAACATCTCTGCAGGAGGTATATCGTCCCCGGAAGTTCAATAGTGTTGTTGTTTCTTGGTGCCAGTTTAAGGATTTTGTATACTTAGTTGTGCCATCATACAGCTGTGCAGAGGCTTTTCTGTGAAAGGAAGAATTCCGTTTTTACATCTCGATTCCTTTAGGGATTCAAACATTTCAAGTGGTGAGAATCATATTCTTGACAGACGAGTGAATAACTGCCTTTATAGGAAGGCATCTCGCTGGCTTTGTGTGTGTTGGGTGAGATCAGACACACACACATTAGAGTAATCCAAAAACAAACAATCCCCTGTGGCAGATCACAAGCAAATGTGAGTTGATGGTTCATCGGACCTTTTCATGCTGAGCTGCTTTCTGACTTTTGATCTTGTTTTTTTCCTCTGGTAGTTCCCATGTTTGACATTTGAACAGCGGGACCTCTTTGCAAAACCCATTGGATAAAGTAAAAAAATGCACGGTTGTCAAGCTGAAAAAAGTCTTTACTGATTATACAGAGCGAACCTCTATGTATGTCAGAGTAGCTTAAGATACCGAATAAGTGATGTCTTTGGATACCAAGAGGGGTTTTGTCATCCTATGCAGCAGTGAAGTATTTTAGACTATTTAGCCATATCAGGTCATTACTTTCAAGTGCAGCTGCCTTAGAAGATAGCCAGCTTAATCGTCCGATCTGTGTTCCTCCTTATCTTGGATGGTTGAGGAGAAACTGTTCATTCCCTGTGTTTTATGGAGCCTGTAGCCGGTTATCTTTTTGAAGTTGTTTCCAGGAGTCGTCCAGAGTTGGGGAGAGCTCTGAGAATCAGTCCTGGTATCCTTTTTAAAACCTAATGATTCACTCTCCCTGCCCCCCCCTTGCCCTTTTTGCCAGGCTTATCTCCGTCTGATCTGACATCCAGATGTGCCGTCTCGCTGCAGCTCCCGTGGTGGAGCCGTGTTGTTCTGGAGGCTCCGGGGCCGGGGGGGGGGGGGGGGCATCGTCGGTCCGCTCTATGTGTTGCATCACGAGTGTTTTGCAGCCTCGTGTGGGGGCGAGCAGACGGGCTGGCGGTCGGGGGGGTTACACCCTGGTTGCTGAGGGAGAAGTGGTGGTAGAAGTTGTTATTTACCACCATCCCTCCCCCTCCCTTTTCACGGGCCGCGCTCCAGCTATTGGGAGTCTGCATCATTCCGTACCAGATTAGGCCACCTCGGTTCCCACACAATACTTACTGTTTTATCCACAGAGCTTGTGATAATTATAATGTTGTTCATGCACCGGATTACTCCCCCTCTCTCCTCCCTCCTTCTCTCCATATTTAATCCCTCTACTTTCTTCTGTAGTTGCTATACACAGAATATCCGACCCCTGGTGATAATAATTCATGCATCATTTCTCTCTGTCTCGCTTTTCATCTTTCTCCTTCCATGTCTAACCCACCTCTTCCTCTCTTCATGCTTCTTCCTCTCCATCACTCTGTCCTCTCTCTCTGTCTTTCTCTCTCTGCTCGTTTGAAGTCGTGCCGACAGGAACAGAACAGGCACAGAACTTTCCCAGAGAACCTCCCCTTGGTTTTTGTTGATTTTTCTTTCAAGTTCATTTTCAAACGGCATTTATTCATATTAAACCGACGGAAATACATATCAAGGCCTTGCAATGCAAATGATGGCACCCACGTCTTTCTCACAATTGTTGTCGGGGTGGGTGTGTGTGCACGCAAGCAAAGGCACGTTTTTATGTGTCACTGTCCCAAATCCAAGGCGAGCTGCATTTGGATATAAGGGAGCGTAAAGAGGCTCTGCCCACACTCTGTAGCACACTCTGTCTCTGCACAAAGAGCAGCCTGTGGAGGACTTCCTGTGAGAGGATTCTTGAGTTTGTGGGCATGCTGGAGAGACTGTTGGGGTCAGACGATATGACTCCTGGGGGTGCCTCTCCTTTTGTTGCACTCCCCTATAAACTCTCCCTTTCTCTAATTCCTTCTGTAGTATCTTGTCCCCTGTTCTTTCTCGTCCCCGCCTACCTCCCTGTTGCCCAGCCTCCTTATCCACTCCCCCTCCTCCCTCCCTCTGGCCTCTTATTCCATCCGCCGCACCACAGACCAGAGTGTAGCTACGTCTCAACACCCCGAGCAAAGCCACAACGCCCCAGCCTGCCCGTACAGCTTGGGACGATTACTACTTCCTCGTTGTCATTGGTATCGTGACATGAGGAAGTAGACATTAAGGATTTTTTTAAGGCAGCTGGTGGAGGACAGAGTTTGCCAAATTCCCTCGACGTACAGACTAGTGCACATTGATCATTTTACCAACCAGTTTATGGAATAGTAATGATTTGAAAGAATGGCTGATATTACATAAACATAGTGAACATAACCTTGGTAGAATCAGACAGAAGTTTTTGGTTGTATTTTCCCAATGCAAAAGTCGACTGAGTCTTTTTAGCCCCGCTCCATGGACGGCAATCTGTCTGTCAGGCCCATACTGAAATATTTTAACAACTACTGAAGGATTGTTATTTAATTTGGTGCGGGCATCCATAGTGATGAGAGGATGAATCGTAATGACTGACCTTTCATCAAGTGCACCAGCAGGTCAAATCTTTCATTCAAGTGAAATACCTCAAACTGTATGGATTGGCTCAAAGACATTCGTGGTTCCAAGAGGATGGATTGTACTGACTTATCTCATCCCCTTGCTTTCTCTAGCTTCACAATGAGGTTCACATTTGTGTTATAGAGTGAAATATCTCGACAACTATGGGATAGATTGCCTTGAAACATGCTCATGAGTTCATTCCTCCCTCAGGATGAATTGTGATAGCTGTGGTTATCACTTTATTTATCAGCTAATGTGATCATCATGTCCAAATGTGTCCATTACTTTGGTTTATGACCAAATACCTGCAACAATTGCATTTCTATCAGCCTTAAAAATAACAGGTGCCTATTGCTGATTAGCATTTGTTAAACATGGTAAATATCATGCCTGCTAAACATCAGCATAAAGCATTGTCAATTGGGACTAGGTAGTAGTAGTAACAAATATCACAATACCTTTGAAAAGATGACTCGATCGATTTTGTAGGATTGACTATTAGTAGTTGCATAACATGCAGTTTATATACACAATGAGCTTTTGTTAAAAAATCTAATATGTACATAACTTTGCTCTGATGAAGTCTTTAAAACCAGGAAAACACTTACTTATCTAGTCTCACATCGAGATATCAATATGAAATCGATATATTGCCCAGTCCTAATTCAACACTTAGCTCGAAGCACTGCTGTGCCTTATTGCAGTCTGATGGAGATAGTTTATCAAGTGTCACTCTGATCATTTCGCCTTTCAGCTGTATGCTGCTTATCCAAGTTAAACAAATGTAGTCCAAACCAAATCTACTCTGATATTCTCCCTCCAATTTTAATGCAATTATTTCATAATAAATGTGCGTGCTCTCAGCCTTTAAGTTCTGCTCAATTTCCCACCAGCCTCTCTCGTTCCCTCATAAAACCAGAGTCTGTTCTGGGTCAGCCAAGGAGAGGACCTGTGATTAACCTTCATTAGCGACCTGTTGAGGGCACACGTTAGTGAGATGCAATCTCTGGCCAGTTCTCTGTTCTGCCTCAGAGGGTCCCCTCCGTAAGTGGGTGTATTGAACTTTGAACCTGCAACTCAAAGTGCTGCTACAGTCTACTAACCACAAGGCAATGTTCCCTACTTTTTGATTTTCTGTCCTCATAGTGGCTTTTTACTTTTAAACGTCTCAATTCCATCATCCTTTCTGTGATCGATGTTTTAACCTTTCAAAATGGTTTCACCGTTTTGTAACCCTGCCTCAGGCTGAGAGCATCATTCCAAACACAGACAGCAGACCATGAAACACACGTCACTCCACGACAAGCCAGTGATTATTTCCCAAAGCCTTGAAGGTGGTTTCTTTGGACAGTGTTACGTGGGGGCTAATTATTTGTGCCAGCTGGGCGGTTACGAAGTGTCTTTAAAGGCATCACAGAAAACATTCCTGTTGTACTGTATCATAGGTCAAGAACTAAAGTGGCCGCACTATTTGGAATTCAGTCAGAAGAGGATCGATTTATATGAAATATCTGTTTATGATATTGGATTATTTTTGTTAATTGTAATTATTATAGTTTTACAGCAGTGAGTGAATGTTTTTGTATGTCCGACAATCCCAGATGATGACAGCAGTCAGCTGTGGAGCCAAACATTTCCAGGGGATGCCAGGAATAATATTTTCTGTTTACACCGTTTCTGTTTGTCCTCTCTAGACTGAGCTGAGCGAACAAAGCCACTCGGAGTATTTTTCCAGAGTGGGAGAAACCCTAGAGCCTTCAAACATCCCCACGAAAACAAAGAAGACTGTGCTTCAAAAGATGTGAGTATGATCTAATGCAAAACTTTCCAACCCCGGCAGTCAGAGAGGACACTTTAATATCCTCTTGTCCTTTCATTCCTCAGAGCCAAACAAGCTGGTGTCCAGCGAGAGCTCCATGCTTCCAGTGCGGGGGGGGGACAGCAGGTTGACCAGGGAGACTGTCCCCAAAACCCAAGAGGGGAGATTAAAGCTGGAGACTCAGAATCAAGCCCAAAAGAGACCAGCTGTGGTCAGAAGACCCTCCCAGAGGCAGACCACATGGTGCCTTGCCCCAGTGCCTTAAATGAAGCTGAGGCTCAGATTGGGACAACTCAAGACCGGGGCCTGACCCAGGATCAGCAGACCGGGAACAGTCCTCCAGACGGCATTAACCCAACCGGAGCCTCTGAAATCAGTCAGGAGACGAGAAAGAGCAAGAGGAGCAAGCCAAGCGACTCAGGGGAAGACCCTCACCCACAGAGGGCCAAGAGGACGTGCCTTGAAAGACCTCCAGCCACAACTCCTCACGAGTGCTCCACACAAACATCCAGGCATGACCTTCCTCCTCTGCTGCCGCCCCTTCCTCCTGCCGAAGCCAACGCAGAGTCCAAGGCTTTCCCAGTCTCCGGGCGCACCAAAACCACAGTGGAAGTAGAGCTGCTTACTCCAGGGAAACGGGCCCAGAGGCCCCCCCTCACAAGCAATAACACGGCACAGACAAACCAAAACAGGCTGGCCGCAAGTCTGAGGGGCCTATCTGTCAAGCCTGCATCCTCGTGCTCCTCTATTAGTTCCAGATCCACACTCGCAGCGGAGGGGAATGAAAATGTGCCCAGAACCTCGAGATTACGGCGACTGAAGAGGTCCTGAGGGGGACGGGGACGAATACAGTAAAGATGCCTGACGCCACGGAGATAGAGATGATATTGTGTCAGGCTACATGTTTACCTCACATGATGTGCATTTGTACACGTGTCACATTTTCACCACAATACATATTGGTTTCGTGCGCGCACACACACACACACACACACAAATGCTGAAGACATTAAGGCATTTGTTACATGAGCATTTGAGTTACACTTTGTCAAATACTTGAAACAGACTTTTTTCTCTCCACCCATAAGTAGTGGTGGTCAAGTAAGGCTTGCAAATGAAAGTCAAAAAAACCTTTAATTGGAGTTTAGATTTGGTTTTGTGTTAAAGATTGGGGATTTCAGACAGGCAGGAGCCATGCAGTACGTCATGGCTCTCCGTCTCGAACGCTGGCTCCTACGTGTCTGAAAACTGTCCACTTTCCCCGCTGAAGCTCTGCTGTGATGGATGGCTGTTTCCAGATTTATTTCATCACCTCATTCTCAAAAATCACTTATGTAGTTAGATTGCATTCATACACAATTTACAGTTATTAGTTGCTAAGCACCTGAAATGTATCTCTAAATGTGAGGGTATTATGTAGCTTTTATATTGAACCAAATAAGTGTGGGTATATTAGTAATATTAGTGGTTTTATTTGGGAGTAGCAGGTCATCTCTGGTAATGCAGGTTACATTTTTAGCTGCTGTCAACACCCCTTAATCCTGATTTATTTGGAGTTTCCTGGAAAGACATTTTGCGTTAAATAAATATGCAAACAAGTCACTACTTTACTGGAAGCAGCGAGAAACAACATGAAGATTTCTGCACGTTCTTTCCTTCCCACCCTGTGCAGACTGGCTGATCCGCAGTGATGTTCCTAACAAACCAGTGTTTCTCTGGATCAGGGGGTGTAACCTGAGATGAGTTCTTTCTCAAGAGCCAAATCTGTTCTTATCAAGACAGACAACATGGTGGATTAGTGAAAGTGACCCGTCTGTTTTAACTCCTTACATGGTTTAACGTTGTTCTCTAGAGGTGTTGATAATCTCTCACTTTAGATTTAATCCTTTTAAAAGCGATTCTGCAGAAAAATGGAATCAGTTTGACTTCACAGGCCTGCTAGTTTAAAAAGGTTTTAGTTAAGTCCGCTGCTCTAACCACACCAACAAGGGCCACATTGTATGAGGAGCATGAGGAGCTGGGGTATTTTTGTCTCCAGGATCGACCTAATGCGAGCATGACTTGCTCCAACATAATTAGCTGTAAACACATTTGGACAGAGTCTCCGATGCGTCTCCGGCAGCGGTTCCCACGGCAGCGGCATGAGAAAGCTCTCATATGCTCTGACATGTTTGTCTTGATGCATCACAGACAGACTCTTCACTCGCGCTCCAGAACAAAAGACAACTTTAATTCTCTTTTCATACAAAATATTTAATAAATATGACTTTCAAAAATATATTGCCAGATCAACACATTATTCTCAAGTTCATAACACAAAGTCAAAAATAGAACAAAATGTTGCCATGATCTCAAAGGGTTAACAAATGAGATAAAACATGTTTGTCTTTAAGAGCCTCATTTAAAAAAAGAAAATAAACTAATTTGCACAGAAACAAAGCAGAGGCAGTGTATTCTATTGGATTCTACAGTGTTCCCATTGCTGCCCCCCCCCCCCCGGCCCCTCCCCTACTCTTCAAGTACTCTGTCTAGCTTTTGATATTACGCTGACTAAAGCAGATGGGAATAGTGGCGTGTCATAATGACGTGACTTGCCTTTGAAATGTTTCGATGGTTTAAACTGAAGCTGCAGAAGGACTTTTGTTCCCTTAAGTGTTTATCCATTAGTGGCAAGCAATATGTCTGCCACCATGTCCATCCCTCGCAGCAGCTGATCTGTCGTTGTCCTAACCTCACTGCCTTCAATCAAGGTCCTGGCAACAAGTAATGAAATGTCAAATGTGTGGAAAAACGACAATAAAAGTGTTTCAGGCCAAACGTGCCCATCCTTTGTCTTCTTTGAAATGTGGCTTTTTTTATAAAATGCGTTGAAAAATGAAGTCATTGAAAGAAATGGTAGACTTCCACAGCTATCAAAACCTTCAAACTAGACAGAACATATAAATAAAAAGGAATGATATCTTAAGGCTCTTGATTATTAAGTTAATAAATCAAATATACACAATGATTAATAAAAAAATGTACATATCTACATGTTCTAAATCGACATCAATTCTTCATATTGGCAGCAACTGCTGACATTGAAACCTTCCCCTCCCTCCCCCCCAAAAAATAAAAATAAATAATAAAGTTGATATTTTTTCTCATTTGACAGTTGCTGAAGTCTAAAAGCTGAAAAGGCACTTTCTCCAAACAGAACTAAAAATAATTCAAAAACATACTAAAAATAATTATCTCTAGAATTAAACATGTCGGGTCGTTTTAGTCATTGTACAACAATTACACCAGGAACCCCTAACATGTGTCCACTAAAATAACAACAAGGGAACTGAAATGCAGAGGAGGACACTTGCAGCTAGTTCTACAGTGAAATGTATACCAGTGCCTTGTGTTTCCAGCCAACCAAAGCAACTGTCACTGCCAGTGTAAGCCAGCTTGTCAAAACTTAAATTAACACGGGGAATATCTGAAAATACTGTGGGGTCACGACTGACACGACAGTTTGCTAACTACACATGCCAAAGCTCCCCCGTCTCACCCACCACCGGGGTGTGAAGGCATAAGGCTTGGTTGCACAGCAACACAGCTGTCTGCTATACAATGTAGTCCATCCTGTTTATGCTGTTTGCTGTCTCCAAGTCTCTGTTGTCCTGTTTATTAGTCCAATTAGGGTTTTTGGATGTGGAGTTGGAAACCGGCGTCTTCTCGTCCCGCTCCACCAGTGTGTATGCTGGCTGTTTGGCGAAGCGGCCCTTCTGTAAGTGCCTCTCCTTGTCGTCCTCATTCCCCTCGGGATGATTTGTCCTTATTTTGGCAATGACGGAGTTCTTGTTTTCGTAGTCTTTGATTGCCACCGTGAGGCCCGAGTGCTTCTCTATAGGGTTCTTGATCTGGTTGAGCTGCTCCCTCACGTTGTTGGTCGTGTTGTCCTCGGCGCTGGTGGCCGGCGGCCCGTTGTGGTTGCTCTGTTTCCGCCGGCGCCGCATGCACCACAGCAACACAGAGACGAGGACGAGGACCCAGATGACAATGAAGACGGAGCTGAGGAGGGGCACTAGGTAGTCTGAGGGAAGAGAAGAAGACCGGTCAAAGAGATGCCCCAAATATAAAGAGTGAAAGGAGTCCCAGTTAAACAATACACAAAAGGTTTTATTGTATTGCAATGTCAAGCTTGCTAAATAGTTAGCATGCTTTGCCAGTGCAACCTGACCTCTGAGCCCTGGACAAGGAAGGAGGCTGCTTCTATTTGGCTGTGGCGGCAGTCTGCTGTCACTGTGTTGATGAATGGTGGACACATGCGGGGGTCTTACTACGAGTCCAGCCAGTCGCAGTGAGACAATCTAAAACCACGTAGCCTGGCAGCTCTGCTCTTCCATTCTGACCAAAATCTTTTTAAGCTCCCGTACAACTGCCATGAGATGGCAGGACCTGGCCGACCAACGTATGTGGGAGGATTAGGAATTACTTTTCACACGTGCATGACTTTTCTTTGGTACTAGGCATCACTGTCATTTAAGGGCCTTGGCTCTATCTCATCTGATCTTATCATTAAAAAACAGAATGCTCCCACACACCGAGTGAAAGTCTGGGAAACAGCCAGAGTTTGGAGGCGGTTCTTACCCGTTTTGCTGGGGCTTGGCACACGCACTTCTATGATGGCGGCGATGATGGTGTTGTTGTTGTTGTTCCCGTTGCCCTTGCTAACCAGGTCGATTATCCTGTCTGTGAGCTCTTTAATAGGACTACTGTCCAACCGATGGTCCTCCATAGCCTAGAAGAGTGAAAAAGAAAGTAACATTTAAAATCTGTGGCTTTAGGTTTATGTTCTATTTTTCATTAATTGTGTTCACCGGACACAAAACAACCCAACCTAAATCCACAAACTATCCCATTAATGCTGCTAAGAATGCACGCTGCAGGCTATAAATCAAAGGGGATTTTTCTGAGCATACATTAATAGAGGCAGGCAGGCATATGGCAGACAGGGAGTGGGAGGAGGTACTTACGATGCAGACGTGGATTTCGTTGCTGGCTGAGAATGAGGGGTCACAGGTTATGGACACAGAATGCTCCAAGGAGAAATTCTTCACCACGTACAGGCGCCTCAGCTGCTTACACACATCCTCCACGGTCAGGCTCTGGACATGGAGAAGAAGTAAAGCAAATGTTACAACACAAATGGAAACAAATACAAGAAGAGAAGAAAGAGCTCGGCCTGCACTTTTGGCAGTGGGGTCAACATGGTGGGGATCCACCTCATTTAGATTAAAGACCACAGGCTCATATGCTTGTCACTGTCTGCTGTCATGCTTGTTAGGCAGCTGGCGAGTGATGATGCTGTGTGGTGACAGAGTCGCCAGTGGTCCTGTTTAGCTCAAATCCATCTGATCCTGAAATTAATCTCGCAGTGCGGTCAGGGTTAAGAGTGGATTGGCATGAAGTCGTGAATGCCTGATTCTCAGGAACTTGGATGCAGTCAACAAAAAGAAAGGGGACAAAAAAGAAGGAAATATCCCGGCATTTTTTCTTCCTGGAGCGAATTTAAATACATGGCCCGATTGTTCAGGAGTCTTAGACGAGAAATCCTTTTGCCCAGGAGGGATGGTTGAGCACTTTTGAAAACCTGATCTTTCACAGTTTGCTGCTCCCATTCATGTTATAGAGGTGGTGGTGAGGGGGACGGGGGACGGGGGGACGGGGGGGGGCATGAAAAATGACCCCAAAACCCCTACAATTCAATTTCTCCCTCCCTGGTGCCTAGGTAACTCACTTGAGGCATGGTCTCCTTGTTGAAGGTGAAGGTGATGTTGGCGCAGCTGTTGTCCTGGTAACTGGAGCTGGGGTGGCATTCGGTGGGACGTGGGGGAGGGTTGGAGCGCCAGCACTCCCCCAGGCCGACGCAGGGCTTCACAAAGCAGTGGTCCTCCCTGATGGGGACGCAGCTCCGACCGGAGGGACACCCGCCGCGACCTTTGGCCCCTATGTGGCAGGACATAGGGCCACATGACATCTGGAGAGAAACACAGGGAAACTATGTTAAGACTTTTTCCTTATAATTCAACAAATATAAGGCTATAGGGCTGATGATACCGTTTCTTTAATCCCAGCTAGTGGTGTGGCTCTAGGGATTGCAAGGTCTGTAGCAGGAGCGTTGGGATATTAATAGTATTGACGATAATTAAAAAAAATCCAGCACCTCTTTAATAATCTCAGTTTCTTTCAGTTTTTACTTCGTCTCCCTCCCCAAACAGTGGAATTAATTTGCCAAGATAAAAGACAAAATGCATAATTAGTTAAAGATGAAAATGACAAATAGCATAATTCCATCATTTCCATTTTCCAATAATATCGTTGTCGTGGTTTAATCTGTTTACCACTGAATTAATACAAATATATCTAATATCTAAATAAATATTGAACACCAGAGATGAAATCCCAGGTTGGAGTTTACAGTTGTTCCCAGTCACAGATCAAATGGCTCTGTAAAGATTAATTTCTCTCCCATTCATGTCAAGGGATACGCTTCTGTAATCCGCTAAAGTGCGGTAAAACCCACACGTCACTGTGTTCCCATATCAGACTATATTTACCATGGAAGTTTGTATCTCACATCCCCAGATCGTGTTCACCCCATGATGCATTTCTCTCCTGAAGGGAGCAGTGTCAGTGAGGCGCCATTGTTAATCTGGCAGTTAAATGAGCGTGATAATGATAGCACTACTTCGGGCCTCTACTGTATATCACCCAATCTTCACCCGGTGAGACTTTGGGAAATTCAGAGCTGGCACCTGACACCAGTATTTCCAACACTGCCATTGTGTTGCTTTCAAAACACAATGGCATCATCTCTGTACAGAATGTGATATTCCCACGCCAGCTCCACCCTGTGACACACAGTGTTGTTGTAGGCCCTACCTGAGATCTCTGAAGACAGAAGAGCCTGAGATACATCCACCCACGCAACCATTTATACCAAATACTTCACTTTTACATTATTTCACATAGGGAGAGACCTACCTTTGTGCACACAACTTTCCCGTTCGAACAGTGGCAGGTGTTGCAGTCTTCGTCCCATCCGAGACCATCGAGGACGACACGTCCATTAA